AACGTCTTTCTCAATCTTTTTTATAATAGAGACATTTTTAGTACTTAAGTCATAGGCTTTACTAGCTGTCTAAGCAATGTTTAATATTTGACTTGAAAAGTCTTTAAACTGTTTAATCCTTTCAGACATACCTGATAAAGCTTCTTTTATTGAAGTAAGGGACTTCACCTGTTCCAAGTTCAGGTCCTGTAAAATTCTTTAAGTAAATGCTGGATAGAGTTAGAGTCCTCTTTGGCAGGCTGAACCTTGCATTTTGGTTTTATTTTGCGTCTTCTCCACTGGAGGAGGATTGCCGGTTGTTTTCAGCTCTTTCACCTACTTTTTGATCCCTTTAGTTTTTTGCAAAGTACCTCTCCTGGACATTTTGCATTTTTAACTGCTTTAGGAAGGAATTCAGTTGAGATAAGCAGTTGAATAATTGAAAATGTTAAGCTGGGCCAGGGATGAGCAAGCCTTTCAGAGTGCTACCTTTGACTGAAGCTAAGCCACACCCCATGTATAGGGTGCACTTGAGATGTTTCCCTCAAATTTCATTCTAAAGAAGGATAACTTAAATATCAAAACAAGCAAATGGATTGTTAAGTGGAAGAAAGGGAACAGCCTTTGTCTGACTAGACAGCTATGCTATATTACATTTTGTACAGTACACCAAGAGGCAGCAAATCAAGGTAGATAAAGACAACAGTCTAAACTGTTCAAACAGGCATACATTTCTTCACTGCCAACTATAACTAAGCAGAATTTATCATTGTCATACCCTTAGCTCTGAATTAGGAGAAGCATGGGTGGGCCCTCATCCCTGCACCCCTCATATTCCTGGCAGCTCACCAATCCATTGCTCAGTGGGCTGCAAAGGAATGTAATCACTCCAGGGAAGAGAGCAGAACTAGGTATTACAGAAACCAAGTGGCTGCCTCTACTCTCTAGCAGCACCTTAAAAAGAACATTAATATCAGAAGCAGCATTATGTGGTTGAACTTCATACATCCTATACAGCATACCTCAGTAACCATCGGTGGCAGTCTTTCTTAAAATACATGAACTATTCAATTTTTTTTACAAAATTCAAAATATGTCATTTGTAGATTATACTCATTGTTCAATTAATGAAGAATTTCTAATGAGATAAGCATGTATCTATTGTCATGTATTTATAATAAAGGCAGAATTAAAAGTGAGCCTTCCCTTTCCCCAATCTGGTGCCTTTCCAATATGCTAAGTTCATAGTTTTCAGAATTCCCAGCCAGTATGTTGACTGGGAGTTCTGGGGAATTGTAGTCCAACTGTAGGGCACCCATTTAAACAAATTTTCCATGAGATATGAGCCTGCATACAGATAATTGTGCAGTCTTCTTACAATTCTTAAACAAATTTTGGAGTTATCAGTGAAATGAAAGGATTGAAACTTACCTCTTCCCTGCCCTAATGCATACAGTATTGCAAATATTAAGAGTATTGACCTTTTTCCCAAGCAGCTCAGAGATTATAAATGTAAAAATTCTATTACAGATGAACAGATTGTTCACTTTTTCAAGAAAGCAATGTATTTTTAGATGGACTTGTTTATAGTGTCAGTTAGCATCATTCTAAAAGGGCTCTTCAGAATGCAAGAGGATACCACATGGATGCAAATAATATATCTGAAAGATATTTTTAAATCCCCAGTTCATGCTTTCAGTAAAGCCACTGATGTGGAACATATCACTAGACTATGAATCTTGTCTATTGACTTGCTCTAATATCCCTCTCTAAATTCCATCCTTTTAATTAATAACTATGAGGTTAATAAAATAATTTAATTTCTCTGTGATTTACAGAACCTTAAAATATTATTTGTTTATTCCATTAAAGGAATCAGAAATTGATCAAGTCAGCAGGCACTGGGCCCCCACCAAAATCCAGTTCAAGTATACTTGGGAGGCAATTATATTCCTTTAGCCTTACATTCTTTTCTATTTTTACCCACCTAGTGGTTCATAATAATAAAATCAGATTCATTGGCAAGCATTATTTCCTTCATAAGACTGGATCTAGTATATCGGGTGCTGTGGTTGATTCTACAGTACTATAGTTGTTCCGTTTAGCTCTGGACTTTGCTTCTCTGAAAGGAGAAGCAGTGAAGTGTGGTAGGGAGAGGTACCATGGGCAGATATTCTCCAGCATTATTCTTGTTACTCTCAGCATTTTAAAAAGACACATTGTTCTGTGCTGATACATGTTATTCAGGATATTCTGGGTTTTGATTCACAGACGCAGCATTACTCATTTTCAGATATTACTAGTAATCAAGGCCCCCTGATTGATAATACTATTTTGGGATAGATTTCATATATAACCATTTTGAGACAAAGCTTTATCTGTAGATTTACAGAAGTCTTTCTCAGTTACCTGTCTTAGGCTAGATTGAGGTTTTTCATAAAAGGAAAGGAGAACATATTTATTCTGTGTAAAATAAAAGGCCATTTTAGTAGCAGCCACTGCCAAAATGTTGCAGGATCCAGTAAATTCATTTCAATTTTTGAAGAAATTTAATTTCAAATTTAATCTGTATTTCTGTACATAATTTTAAAAAAATCAATATTCAGGGTGGTGGAGTGGGGAGATTATACGTTTACATGCCTGCATATATGGCTGAATCCCCTGAATATGTCATAAATCTGGGACAGTTTCAGTTTCCCTCAAATTTGAAAGATGCTTGGGTTTGCTTTTAGTAAATCACAAAAAGCACAAGACTTCCTTAAGCCACTTTCTTCTATCAGGTACAATTCTTGCAAGGACAATGTGGATGGTCTTTTCATATTTTCCCAGGCACTGTAATGTTATTACTTTTGAATTTTCATATGAAAATCAACATACTTCTGGTAATACTGCATCAGGTATCTACCTACATCCAATGGGAAGAAAGTTTTGCATATCTCAGCAAACCAGAATTTTGAAATTTCTTTCGCACAAATTAGAGCAGAGCTATATTTCACTTTTGGCAGCTCCCTGATTAAAAAAGTATACACAAAAATGCAAAAATATATACACATTGTCTTTGGCATTTTTCAGATTTTTTGGCAAACTAAGGTAGAATTCAGATAAAGTAAACTTGTGCTTAAATAAATGTGATTATTAAAGATAATGAAGCAGATGGTCCCTTAAAGGAGAACAGAAGACAAAAGACTCCCACAGTGCAAAGTAACAATTTAAGTTATGAAATTGGAACAAGCATTTTCAGAAAATAGGAATCAGTAATTCAGACAGTTAGGAAAAGATAGAAAGACCCAGACCTAAAGGATTATTGTTTCAAGTACCCCTTCTTAAGTGAACAATAAAAACTGAAGTGAAAGACTACCCTATATAGGCTATAAGAAATTCCTAGTATCTTTGGTCTTTCTTGGGCCTGGCTCCAGATGTGGCAAAATAGAGGAGAAAAATGGGTGGGGTGGGACATGTCACACTCATATTCATATCTCTGCCATGGACAGAGGGAAAGGTTCTCACCATTTCTCATAATACTGGAACCTGAGGGATCATCCAATGAAGTTGAACAGTGGGAGATTCAAACCAGACACAATGTGGGATTCATAACTCTATCTATCTATCTATCTATCTATCTATCTATCTATCTATCTATCTATCCATCCATCCATC